CTTCTCTGTTTAGATATAGATAGAATTACAATAAAGAATAAAATCATTATAATAGAAAGGTAAAAACAGACAATTAAGCTGTATATCCCCTAAATTTTCACTAAAATAAAACATACAGTATGTGCACTATCTTCCAACAAAACGTTCCGTAAAGTGCAACCATACACCTTCAAATAGTACCGAGTTGGTGGACTCGTTATCCCCGAGTCTTTGTAACTCGTGTATATAGTTGCCGTGTCTGTTTGTTGCCGCAAATGAGTCGTCTACCTCGATGGGAGCTTCGAGCACGGGAACGGAGACGGCAGAAAAACTGTGTAAGTTTTTATTATTTTTTATTTTCTTGAGCTTTTTCTGTCCTTTTTAAAAAAACAATTATCATGACACTTGAATTGGAATTTGGTAAGTATGCTGCAATACAAATACGTATTATGGGTGATTTTAGAAATAGTTAGTATTTCTACGCATTTAGTTTAGGATTATTAAAATAGAAAAACAAAACAAAATAAAGGTATTTTTTTGCAAAATGATAAATTAAGCGCAAAGAAAAGTTATTTTACAATCTTAATGTCTTAATTCTCTTGTGAATCTCCCCTGCGAAACTCCAAAGTGAATTCGTATTTCATTATACACAACATTCAGAATTCTAGGAGAATCTCTTTGCAACTAGGGGCTGCTTTTAATATTCTTTTACTTTTTAAAAAGCAATGTGTACCAAGAATTCAAGTCCTCCCACGGGAAACGCATATCAGATAAGAACTGTGTAGTACTGAAAAAAAAAGTCACTGAGTTAAAAAAAAAAATCACTGAAAAAACGGTTTTAATATTTATAATTGTTCATACTGATTGAAACACGATGTTCAAATTAATTTGCATAATATTGCTAATACATATGTTTAAACTTATCATGGTGAGCCTGAAAACATCGCTTTTTGCCGTACTTCGATCGCCCTCTAGCGTCGAACTGTGTATAGACACTGCTAAAGGTCAATTGTTGACCTCAAAAACCTGCTGTACGTCCGCTCGTGACTCGAAAACTAGTGCAAGAGTCGGAGTGATCTGTTTATTTGTGTCAAATTGTCCCCTTCTTTGCATGGATCTAACTTGTATGAGTACAGTGACGGCTTAAATTCACGTGAGTATCTAAAATAGTCACTGTCACATTGTATGTGGTTCTTTTAGTTGTACATGTATGTATGTAGGTAGCGGTAGATTCAGTTCGTGTTCGCTCTCGTTTCCGATTATCAGTGTTGTTGCATGATTTATTTATTTATATATTTATTATTGAGCTTCATAATTTCGGATTCTGTTTTGAGATGAACTGATACTTGAGACGAACATTAGATCAGTTTGAATTATCATGCATACTCCCAAATTTCACTGACCATGGCTGGTTACTTTCCGAGACTTTTGGCACTTTCCTGTTCCGTTTCAGATATTGTATTAGTTCAATGATTGGCTGACACACGCCGATAAAAACAAGTTGCCACACCGTGAGTGTTTAACATCGAGGTGATTTTTGTCAACCAACCTTAATAACTAAGCTACTTAAAAGATTGTGCCTGATTGGCTACCAAACCCTAACATCTAACAGTCACACCAATCAGAGAGCAGCTTGTTTGTTGAATGAAGTTTTCAACGAAACAAATCCGGCCTTGTGTAGTATACATGTACTGGTATGCTTAGATAATTCAACTGCAATTTTCACAGTTCAGTTTTTTTTTTCTCTCAAAAAAATGTAGTGTTTTCTATTTTATTACTCTGATTGTGTAGATCTAGGTATGGAGGATAAAAAAGGAATTCTTTGAACTGTTTTAAAAAAAAAGCAATAATATTTATTACACGTGAATGAATGAATTGTACAAGTCATTTTGAGTCATTCCATCAGGTTAGCGAAAAGACAATTCATTATGTGGTTGTCTAATCATAAATGTCATCACTATTTGTGTGTGCTTCACAATGTAAACCTTAACAACAAGATTTCCCAAATCCCAGTTATATGATGGTTTATAAATTTTCTCCTTATTTTTTTTTGCTCCTGCTTTGATGTTTCATCATCAAGAATCAATATCACTGCAAAAAGTCATCAGTGAGGTTATATGGCCTAAATTGTTTTTGACATTGAATGACATTTGCACTAGTGAAACTTGAGCTATCCTGTAATCAAAGGGACCATATGAATACAAATGTTACATTCCATTTATTATAAATATTGTTATGAGTGTACCCGATCCTTTTATTTTATTCATCAGTTTTTTGTAACATCAGAACTTGTTTCTCGAAAACATCAACAGAATGAGTGTCTCATCGACTAAGAAGAAAAAAGAGAAAGAGGTCAAGGATGAGGAGAAAAGCAGAGTTGGTGGGGAGAAAGAGAAAAAGAGAAGTCACCCTACTCTGCAGGAGCTGAAAAAGAAAGGACGAGAAGCAATGAAATCAGTAACAGCAAAAAGTAGTGATGATGTGACACAATCTACTCCAAAACCAGAAAAGGTAGTTATTTTCTTCTTGTACCAGTAATAAAAAAAAAAAACGCGAACATTTGAAATAAAAATTCAGAGAAATGGTCACATATCACAGCAGTGAAATTACTGTATGCAAATATGATTATTTTTTTAACGATTTAAAATTTCATGTGATTTCCCCAAACTTCTGAAATCTGTTTTCATTGAAACTTTTGACAGTTCTGTGAGTAATATTTTGGAAACAAGCCTAGTGGGTTTTCATTTGTATGTTGCATTCTTGACCAAATTATATTCCACAATGGATAGAATTAAAGAGCAGTGGTTGTCACACTGCATTCTGTTTGAATATGGAACTCATAGCAACATTTACAAGTACATAGTTTGTTTTACATGAAATTCGAATATGTGCTGCACGACAACCACCGCCCTTTAAAGGGCGTGATAATCATATAGACCAACTCAGCATTATGAAGATTATGGGTTTGACTTCTGTGGTACATGGTCAGCTGCACACTCACCATCATGGCATCTCCATTTGGAAAAATCTTGTTCACACGTCTCTTATCTAATCATGGAACTCTTGGTCAAAACCTGCCCTCAGAGTTAAATTGAGTCTGGTCGATATTGGTTTACCCTGTTCACTTGTGTTCCATGCATTTTGCTACTAGAGTGAACACTACAAAAATACAACCTTGCGTTTTTATTTACTTTTGTTTTACAGACGTTTAGTGACTGTCCACCGCCATCTGCTGTGGGGTAAGTATCCTCCATTGGTTTAGCAAAAATCTGATGGTTCAACTAATAGAGGCTATTATTGTTTAAACTTTTGTTTTTCCCAAACTGAAATTCTAATTGGGGATTGAAAGAGCAGATGCACAGTGTACATATTTATTTTTGTAATCACCTGCATCATATATGTTTAAAACACTGACATCAGCCCATACTACACTATGTGTAAATGAGCAAAGTGACTGACACATGGTCATTGTCACATAAATTGCAATGTAAAAACTTGAGTAGCTGCCATTTTGTTGAAATCACCATGCGAACCATAGAAAATTATAACGCACAACACACGATTATAGGAAATGACACATAAAATCATCTGTGAGAGGCAGTCAGAGGCTTAGCCTCTCATGATGGCAACATATTTGACATTTTGCCCAGGGCCCCCGCAAAGTTGTCATTTTGAACCATAATTCTGAGGTTCATCAGACAAAATTAAATTTTAATGGATGGCACCCTCTGGAGTCCTGGACGCAGCCTCACAGCCATCAGGATTTAAAAGACAAACTTGATATATACTGTATATTCTATGCTTTCAGTGTTCACCTTTAGACACTTGCTTTTACAAATTGGCACTGATGATAAAGGAAATGTTTCATTAAAACTAAAACTCAGAGAAAAAAGATTGATAGTTACAGTTATTGTCACTTTCAATAAATGTTAATTCTTATACTTGTATTTCCACTTTATAATCTGCAAAAAACTTTTCACTGACCCCTGAAGCACCATAAAAGTGTTTTGGCGTTTGTATTGTTCATGAGAAATCTTATCCAACAGAATCTTGTGATCAAATATAGACAGTGTAAAGTAAAGTGACTGTAACAATGGAAACTGTGCTTGATTTGGTGATTAAACACCACAACCATCAGTACATGCCAGCTTCAATGCTGCAATCTGATTTTAGAATTATTCATCATGATAATAATAATCCGTGGTAGATATTCCGGGGCTTGAACTTTGAAGACCCAAATTTATAAAATGGTCTTAGCACATAGGAATAATAAAGACAAACCCATTGGGCATCAAGGCCTTTGATGTCTCTGTGAAGTTCAAGTTTTGGGATTCTGGATATGATACAAAGTGAGATTACAATTTTGCAAAAATTAAAGTATGAAAGGACATACATTAACTATATATATTTTTGATTTTGTATCGTTTTTTTCTAGAACTGGTTTGGTATATGATCCAGTATTTTTAAAGCACACTATTCCATATGAGTGGTAATGTATATATTTTTAATCAGGTATTTGGAGCTGGGGAGGAGAGTATTTGGGCAGGGAGTAGGTGAGCTAGAGTGTTGGGGACAGGGGAGGGAGTTACATACTACTCAGATACAGTATATTCTAGCAATATTAATCAAAGAATATGAGGTCACTTTTATGGGCAAATATTTTACTGGTCTAGATTGTCAAATGATATTACTTTCAAGGCTTTCAAAGTCTACCTCATCTGGAGCAAAACCCCTACCAAAGAGGGCGCTTATGAATCGCAAGTCATGTGACAAATTGCAAAGGTCAGCTAAAGAATTATTTCATGGCCAACAAAACTGTCATTTCAAACATTGCATTCTGAAATTGTTTTTCTATATGATGAAATCTAGTTCTCACATGCTTATCCTTCTATCTAAAATCTTCTTTTTTTTTTTTTAATTTTAATCATACTTTTTAATCATACTTTTTTGTCATACAATTGTTGTATTTGTTTGGGGGCTGGGTGGCAATGGCAGAATTAAAAAAAAAAATCATAAAAAAAATATTCTGCAGAGATCAATAACAGAAAAAAATGTTGCATGCCTATTTATTAGGGTAAAAATATTACACGCCAAGGATTTGAAAAAAAAGAATTTCAGCAAAAAAGTTTAAACTATTTTGTCTAGTTTTTCTGACCAAGAACTGTGATTCAGCATTGTTCATCATAACTCACATTCATTTCAACCAGCTTCAAGTTGTGATGTTTCAAATTACACAGTTTAAAAATTTATATATGACATTGTTGTTGGCAGATATGTACCAAGTGGAAAATGTCATTGAACCCTCCCCCCCCCTCTCTGCCTCAAAAATGAAAGGGTTATGTTTGTCATGCATGTTATTTGGCCTATACAGATTTGATTATATGGGACAACATCTGTGATGGCATTCAACCTCTATGTAGTAAATAACAAACAAGAATCAATATTTTAGTTTTATAAATCTTTATTTCATAGTGAACCAGGTAAATCAGAAAATCCACAGAGAATCAGTGTCTGTTATGAAGCACTGAAGAAGGAGAAATTGGTGGACCAGTGTATAGAAATACCGGTACGTATCCATAGAAATACCGATACGTATCCATTGAAATACCGGTACGTATCCATTGAAATACCAGTACGTATCCATTGAAATACAGGTACGTATCCATAGAAATACCGGTACGTATCCATTGAAATACCGGTACGTATCCATTGAAAAACCGGTACGTATCCATTGAAATACCGGTACGTATCCATTGAAATACCGGTACGTATCCATTGAAATACCGGTACGTATCCATTGAAATACCGGTACGTATCCATTGAAATACCGGTACGTATCCATTGAAATACCGGTACGTATCCATTGAAATACCGGTACGTATCCATTGAAATACCGGTACGTATCCATTGAAATACCGGTACGTATCCATTGAAATACCGGTACGTATCCATTGAAATACCGGTACGTATCCATTGAAATACCGGTACGTATCCATTGAAATACCGATACGTATCCATTGAAATACCGGTACGTATCCATTGAAATCTGTTAATCAAACACCAAGAAAGAAGAGAGAAAATATTTGACCCAAAAACCTACTTATATGTGTACAGGAAGTTTTTCAAAGTAGTGGAGACCGATTCGCTTAACTTCTGGTACGGTAGTCTTAGTTGGCATACTGAGGCAAAGAGAAAATGTAAGCTGATTTGTGTCATAACCCATACTGGGCATACCACATAAATAAATAGTTTACATGCCCAACAAACGTCAAGTCGGGTGATGGTATTCTGTCATATCATAGTTATCAATCTTAACATTTAAAGGGCAGTGGTTGTTGTGCCATGTATGTGCAAGATTTGTGTTGATAAACTTTTCGATTTCTCCACAACCCACTATGCTCCACATAGCAAGTATATGTGACAATTGATCTGGAGAGGATGGACTCTGTGGCAGTTCAAAAAACAGACAGTAGATCTCAAGTCATTTAATTTACCTACAGATAAACCTGTACACTCTGATCTATGCAACACTTAGAAATTGTTCTGTGGATGTGTACACATTGCGTAATTGTGACAAATGTTATCAACAATCTACCATTTCTTGTGTGCAAGGGTTCACTATCTGAAGCATGTATTGTACCATGACCACCATATTAACTGATCTCTTCTCTCACTGTCTTTCTAGTCCAGGATGGCAACTGATGAAGAACTCCTGTATCTTCATAGGTAAGTAGGAAATATTTATAACATTCTGATAAAACCCATCTAGATTTGTCAGTATAAAGAGTAGAAGTGGCACTTTGCGGTTATGCAGAGACTGTTGCTATGACATGGTACAGCTTTGTTAAGGTTAGATCCCTATGTTGAATGTACATTGCAGTGGAGAGGAACCCATCCCAGAAAATATTCTGGTAACATTGTCACTAACATAGTTTGCAACATCAGAAATCAAAACTATGTTGCGGCAACTTGCCTGTACAGCATTTATATAGAAATCCTTCATCTTTAACAAAAACTGAAAATGTATCCATGTGTCAGATTTGAAACTCTACCTATCAGGAATATACATGTACATGCGGGATTTGTTAATACCCGGTACTACATATGATAGTACTAATATATCTGATTGTACAACTAACTGCATTTGTTTATTTATTCCAGTGCTGAACATATTGACATTATGAAAAAGACAGCAGATATGTCAGTGGATGAGTTGAAAACATTAAGTGATAATTATGATTCCATTGCATTTAGTAAAGTAAGTTGAGTCAGTTTATACTGTAGACAATCATAATCAAGTTTCACTGTCATCATGACTTGTTAAATACTGGACGTGGGTTCCATGTGACAATAATGTGTGTAAAATATAGAGTTAATTACATGCAATTCAAGTACATGCTGCATAATGATGACCTTGAGAGTTTTATTTACTAAGTAATATGACTAAAATTTAAGGAAAACCTTACGCAAGATTTACAAATGCATGGGTTTGTGTTTGGTTGGGCCTAGTTGACACCAAGATTGTGTATTATAAATTTTATTTCCATAATACCATTATAAGAAAAGGGTTTCAAATATTTAATGTTTTTGGATCCTTTGTGCAATTATTGGTATTCAGTCTTAATTTATCATATGAGTGGCTTAAAATGAAAAAGTCAATACCTGCACATGTGGTCGACGGCCATAGTGTCTCATTGTTCATAAATACGCGTCTACTCAAGAGACTGTGTTTTTAGCATGTTATCATTGCTTATGACATAATTCCTGCACACACACAGGTGACAACTTCTTCGCTTTAATGGCCAGTGTTTCCACCCAGCATCAAATAGATTTTGGCTTCCATTCATCCCTGGTACATAGTGCTTATTTGTCATGCTTGCAGCATTTATGGTTGGGAATATGACAGTCAGTCATAAGGGATGTAAAAACTGTCGGCCCTGTGTAAAGTTTCTGTCCTCAGTGCACATAAACATTGACAGCATCTTTGTCACACAGAGTAGTGATTTTTTATGAGATGTCCAATATTTACTCTAATTCGAGAACTAAGCCCATTGTCTGTTTTACTTTGTTCAACTATCAGTACGCTAGTGATATGATAACAAAATTTAATTTTCACAGGATTCCTTTGAGTGTGGATCATTTGCTGCAGGAAGTGCCATAACACTGGTGGAACACATTTTATCAGGAAAAGTAAGCATTATAGTTTTTGCTTGAATTTGAGTTGTACATGAATGTAAAAAATGTAACAACCATGATTATAATGTCTATAAACATGTGATTTTACATAATGTATCACTAAAGCTTTTAGAAAATGCATTATTATTCAGTGCATATTTTGCTGTTTCATTAATTTACAGCGATTTTATTTACTTACAGATTAGAAATGGTATTGCTTTAACACGGTGAGTCTACTTTATTTATTTTGCAATGATTATTCATTCCTAGTTTATTAACTTGTTGCTAATGATTGTGATATTGCCCAATATGATATTCCCCTGTTGTCATTAATCCCCTAAGGTGTTTGCTGATCCCTTGATATCAAGCCCTGTTCATGAGATGATCAAACAGAAATGTTTGTAATTTTATTGTTGACTTTGTATCATGCAAAATGTGTGTGACAACCATCTAATTTATATATATATAAAGGCAATATTACACAAGATAATGACCTCCAGGTTTTTGACTCCCGTGTGAAGCACAAAAGGGAGTCTTTGCAGTTACCCTGTCTGTATGTCTGTATGTATGTATGTATGTATGTATGTCACTTTTTTTGTTCCACCGTTATCTCAAGAACCACTAATCAAATTTTCGTGAAACTTGGTACATAGATGCTCTGGGATGATGCGCAGAGTTGATTAGGTTTTGGTAAAAATCTATGAATATTAATTACCTAATTTGCATGATAATTAGCTGATTTTTAGCTGTTCCAAGACTGTTCCACTGATATCTGAAGAACCACTCATTGGATTTTGATAAAACTTGGCACATGGATGCTCTGAACTAGTGCGCAGATTTGATTAGTTTTGGGTAAAAATCTATGAATATTAATTACCTAATTTGAATGATAATTAACTGATTTCAAGCTGTTCCATGACTGTTCCACTGATATTTGAAGAACCACTCATTGGATTTTGGTGAAACTTGGCACATGGATCCTCTGAACCAATACGCAGATTTGATTAGTTTTGGGTAAAAATCTATGAATATTAATTACCTAATTTGCATGATAATTAACTGATTTTAAGCTGTTCTATGACTGTTTCACTGATTTTTGAAGAACCATTCATTGGATTTCAATGAAACTTGGCACATGGATGCTCTGAACTAATGCGCAGATTTGATTATTTTGGGTAAAAATCTGTTAATATTATTAATTACCTAATTTACATAATGATTAATCAATTT